AATTCAATTTGTTTAGGAAAATACAATTTCCAAATTAAAAAAATTAAAAAAACAAATGATTTAAAATTTTCACGATTAATTTCAATTATATTAGAATTCTTGTCCTATTTTCAAGAACATGCAAATGCAAAACTTTCATTTCAACAATTATTTATTTATTGAATTTATTCTATTCAAATTTGTTAACTAGTCTTATTTTTAAAATAAATTTTTAGTTTCTCAAATTCCTTGAATCTTAATATTTCTTTATTAATTCTATTTCTTCTTTATCGATTACTTTTGCATGCCAGAATTTAAAGTAAATATTCCAAAGCATAACTGTTAAGAATTTCAATCGAATATCAATAACTTAGTTGCTCAATAATGTAAAACACTTAATATAGAACAAACTTGCAAAAAATCTTTAAATTACAATCTATTATATAAAATTAAATGATTGAAAATTCCTTGATTTTTGATAAAATTTGATATTCTTAAAATTTTTTAGTAAGAAAAAAAAACGTAAATAAGGAAAAAGGAAAGAAAGGAGAGAGAGAGAGAGAGAGAGAGAGAGAGAGAGAGAGAGAGAGAAAGAAGAGAATAGATTGAGATGTGCTCGTTGCGGCAAGTCAAAGATAAATTTAAGTGGTTGTTTACGTTCCCGATTCTGATAATATAACACGTTTCATCATGCATCAATTAATCGTATAATATAAACGGATAAAAATAAATGTACACCACAAATGCACAATATCCGTTACACATCATTAATTTACGCGTTATTAATATTATTAGCCTGCAGAAATATGTAAACGAGCAAGTTCGCGCTAGACATAATTGAGTTATTCATAAATACTACTATTTATCGTTACTAAGTTAATTAATTCCAGTATTGGCCACCGTTGCCACCGGCTAATAATTCGCTCTCGGTAATTGATCGTAAAACGATCCGGGTGGCAAGGTATAAATTTCTGCGATATCTTAGACAACGAAGGAAGTCTTACAAAATGATCGCTCCGACCCTTCACGATACGGCCAGGAAATTGATTCGACCAGGTAAGATGGACACATGGATGAGTCAGTCATGACGAAGGTAAAGGAGTGACCATTGATTTCTTCCCTGGCTATCGTCCAATATCTTGTTCCGCGAAATAAAACTTAATAACGAGGACATCTCTTCCGACCGCGAAAGATTTGATTTTTCAATCATTCGCCGTTAATAATCATAGATAGACGCGTAATATACTTCATAACGAGATATTCTGAATATATTCTGAATAAACAATACAATGTTAATCACTGAAACAAATCTAAACAGGTAGATGTAAACGTTGATTGGTTGAATTATCACGCCAGTAAACCGTAATGACTAATGATCAAGTGATTATCTCATAATATTACGATATTATGAGATTCATCCTGAATGTCATTACAATAAAAAGAGAGCGTTAAACTAACAATAATGGCACATTTTTATTGCGCTAACTTGAGATAAATTGAACAAAAATGTTGCATACAGTAAATTGAATCGATTAATAATACCTTTTAAACTTATTTTGTTATTTTGTTTTTTGTAACTAAACTAGTATACACTTTTTGTACATGGGAAGAACGATTTTATTAAAGTATCTGAAAATTTAGTTGGATATAAATCTGAAAATATACATAAAAAGTTTTGACATTCTAACAATCAATTTGAGTATTCTGCACAATTATTTTAATTCGACAAAATTATTTTTAAATCTGTATCTAGCTAAATTTTTTTTAGATATTTCAGCAAAATCTTTCTTTCGTGTACTTAAAATAAAATAAGTATATATTTAGCAAAAAGAAAACTTCTAGTGCAATTAGCGCAGCAATAAAAACAAACTTATTGTCTATTTCGTAAATAGCTAAGAATGTCTCGTGACATATCGTAGAAAGTCTCGTGGTAAAAATAGTAGGTTACATATGATTAAGAGAGTTATTATTATTATATATAGTTATTCAGCGATGATATAATCCAGTATTGAGATCAGAACGGTCACGAGGGACTGAATCCATAGTCGATATTATGATTCATAGGCGATCAGAAATATCTCGTGACACTTTATAGACAGCAAAAAGTACATCCACGTCAAAATCAAGTATGATAAAATATAGATGTATGCTTTGAGTGTTAGATGAGGTGTCACGATGGAATGCGTATACTTTTTTCAGGCTGACAAAAACGGCTAGAGTAGATACATGTAGTTAATCCAGAAGCTATTTGTCTCTTTTTCAACGAATATTTTAAGGTCGGTCGTATCTTAAAATATTCGTTGCATGCTACCTTACGTGTAACCTGATTTTCAAATACTGCCGCTATCAAGATTCTGTCGAGCAAAAGTGGATAACGTTTGACATCTATGGAAGATTGTAAAAATAAATCAATCATGTATCATAAAATCATAAATATGACTTTATTAGCAGAGTTATTTGCCTCGCATATTTGAAAATATATCGTCAGAAATTTAGAATTCAGAACATTAATAAATTCAATCTCCTTATAGAAGCTTTGAAACGTCACATATTAACACCGCTTGCAAATTACATTTTATTAAAGTTCATATTTTTTAGTGAACAATTTCCTTAATTTTTATTCAACATAAAGATGTAATAATTATTAATATACAAGCTGAATATAATTTTTATTAAGTTTTTAGTATCATATAAAGTACATAAATCTATTAGAAAACTCATTAAAACTGAAGGAGTATATAATAAGAAATAAATTAAATTATCTCACTTTACATATAAAATACGATTTTTTATATTTTACTATTATTCTATAATTTATTAATTATTTTATAATTCAATAACTATTACTTATTGCAAACAATTTTTTTATTTGAAATCTGAAAAGACACCTGCTAAGGCTTTAATACTTTTGTAAAGACATAGCCTATTCATAAATTCATAAAATACTTTGCAGATTGATGAAACGATGATAATTCTATAATATTTTCATGTAGTCACATATTATATCAGTTTAGCGCACAAATCTCATATCGATATATACCACTCGATCGCTTCGATAATTACAAGCTTCGTGACATAGAATCGTTGAAATCGTTCGCGGTAAAAGGGCATTATGCTGATACATGTTTGCGATCCGCATGTCACGATAATAGGCTGTGAATTAAGCATCAGATCGATTCTCCATCAAGTGGACGGCAAACGTTTTAATCAATAACGAAACTAGAATCGATCTCATAAATTTATTAAAAAAGCTTTATATTTTTAATGAGCAATTTACTGAAATATTAAAATATTAAAATTGACAACGATCTATCAATAATTTTTTTTTTCCAATAATATGTGATCAACACTGATCTGTCATTTTGCACTGCCAATAATCTAATGATAAGAATCCGCAGTCGAAAGAATATATGATGGACATTCTATAATACTGTTTTTTGATCTTCGCTTTAAATAATTCACTGTTATCCAGTTAACGATCTCACTGATTTTAACACTGCGCCTTCATTCCTAAACGCGCCGCGACTTATCATTAACAGCGTTTTCGCGGCCAGTTTATTTTATTCAGCAAACATGTGACGTTCGTTGGTTAGTTAATTGGTAGGTTGGTTTGCACATCTGTGTCCTTTCACCCTTTTACGTTTGTCCCCGATCCATCGAATCGCGTGATCGCATTCGCCGATGCTGCACCAATACGCAAACCCTGCGGGCGATTTGCTCGATAGGAGTTGATTAAACCAAATCAATGCAGCTAATAATATCGTTTGTTAAGGCTCAAATGCATTTACGCGACCGAGCAGGTAATTTTTGTCATCGTGCTATCGACCTTGTTGAGCTTGTTACTATTCTATCGTCCTACGTGAATACAAATGCTGAACGGTGATACTTTCGATTACCATGATTTTCGTACTTTCTTTTGCATGTGGAATGTACGACAAAATAAGGAACTAACAGCTTCCGTATTAATTAGTTTCTATTAATTAATCTTCTACTTCCAATTTTCTAGTAAAAATGTATGTTATATATTTAACGTACGAATAATATGTAAAAAAGAGAGGAAACAAAGAGTTCTTTCTATTAAAAATGTATGTTATACATTTAGCGTATCTATTAATGATATATATATAAAAGAAAGGAAATAAAGAGTTCTTTTTTAACAAAGTACAATTTTCAAATGTACTTAAGTAGCAAAATGTTTACTCGAATTTAGGAGATTCTACCTTTTCTAAGTTCTACGAATGATAAATCGCAGACAAGGAAACAGGTAAATGTTGATACAAGTTATTAGTTAACATAGTAAGTTCACATAACTT